CCAGAACCAGAACCAGAACCAGACTGGTTTCAGAACTTTGTTTTGTGTGTTTTAGCATTTTTCCTACAAATCTTACGTTGTGAGGAAACGCTGCTGCTTATTGGCCCCAGAAAATCAAATGCTGTTTTTGGGTTATGGTCAGGTGGAGGGCAGCAGGGCTGTCCAAACTTCTTGTGGCCAAAATTATCAAATCAAAAAAACTTGAGTCAAAAAAAATTTATTTTACCTTCTCAAAAACAAAATATGGATGCAGTACTTTAAATAATCAGATTTGTTGCTTGACAGGGATAAATTATTGCAGATCCAAAACTTATAAAGGGTTCTGCAGGGTTGCCTTGTTAAAACAACAGAAATGTTCTAGTCAGTTCTGATCAGCAGGATCAGGATTTGGGTCACTCTTTCTTCAGCAAGACTTGGTGCATTTAAGTTTACAAAATGAATTAAACGTAGATTTGGGTGCAGCAAACTTCACTTTTGACCGCATGGTCTGTGCAAGAGAACATGAAAAGCCTGATTATTTAAAGACAAAAACTTTGTGTTGTAGCAATTTTTTTATTGTACAAATAATTACATTTTTAAAAAATTATCAAATTCGTGTCATTCCTCACCCACAAACATTTTGGACCCCCTGGTTTAGGGTTGGGTTGTAGAAATGAACAAAAAACGAACGGACGTTAACGCGTTAATTTTGATTATTTTTAATGCAAAGGATCACCTTATTTTCTGTTTTTGCGTACAAAAGTTCCAGCTGGAACCTTTGTGTTCATGTGTGTACATCTTGCAGTTACATCCGCTAACATTTCTGATTTCTGGAGATTAAACACGTCATTACAGTAGAAATAAGACAAAACAAACTTACAGTAACTTTTCAGCAAGATACCAATAAAAAAAGTTATAGTTTATTGTAGATAATTTCACTCTATAAGTGAAATAATTATCCAGTAGAACGAGTCCTCTGTGTGAAACAATGGAAACTCTCCAATCTGATGGCTGAAGAACCAGAGGAACAGATTAAAAAAAAAAACATTTGTTGCAGAGTTCATATGTCTATTTACGCAACAATTTAACAGCAAATAATTTTTTAAATTGAAGATGTTGCTTATTTTATGAATTTTTAATTCAAATGATTAAATGTGAATAATTAATTAGACCCTGAAATTAAATTGATTAAAAATTGTAGTCTTGTCCCACCATCAGTAGACATACATATGTGTATGTGTGTGTGAATGCGTGTGTGTGTGTGTAAATCAACTCCAAACAGCTTCAGATTTAAACGGTCTCTATTTACTTTATACACCATAAATAAATATCCGTTCCATCAGCCTCCAGTCAGGACCAACATGGCCGCCGGTTGCCATGGAGACGGCAGGCCTCTACACCCCGGGGTTGGGTGGACCCTCGGCTTCCTCTGCGCTCGGACCCGACATCTGCATGAAGAGCTGGCGCAGCTCAGTGATGTCATCATCCAGCGGCGGAGCGGCGTGCTGCTCCCGCTCCTCGATGAAGTCCCAGAGCCGGACCCTGTTCATGAACTGGAGACACAGAACCGGGTCAGAACCACAGGGATCGCATGGCCAAGGGGTAACGGCAGTGGTGGGTTCTGACCCGGACATTTCCCTCGGAGCTCAGCTGCTTCCGGGGCCGGTCCGGTTCCGGTCGGGTTCCGTCCGGGTAGGCGTGGAGGTACAGGCAGTTTCCCCCGAAGGGACAGGAGCCGCGGCCCTGGTCGAAGTATTTACAGGCCTTCTTACTGCAGAAACAGAGGAGTCAGGCACGCACTCTGATTGGCCGACAGCCAGGGGGCGGGGCTTACACAGGAAGTTACCTCACGCCCGACTTGAAGAGCTCGATCAGCTGATCCTTCTCTTCCTGGTCCTCGACCCAATAGACAGATGGGATGACGAACTCCGAGATGATCCGACACTCCGGACAGGACCTGGAGGGAGTACCGGGTCAGAACCACTGAGAGAGACTGAAGGGTCTCTACAGAACCCTCATCTCTTTCTATTTTCTCTGGTTGTGGTCTACGGTACCAGAACCGGGCCGGACTCACTTGATGATCTTGTTGCAGAAGTTGGTGGTTCCACGCCACTGGCGGATGCAGCTGAGGCAGAAGGTGTGGCAGCAGGAGGACAGGATGCCGAACCGCCGCTCCGACGGCGCCGCCTTCTGGACCACCACCTCCATGCAGATGGAGCACACCTGCACAGGTACAGGGCCGTCAGGACCCTGTCGTCACGGCAACCGGCACAGAAACTCACCCCACCCACCTTGTTCTGGCTGAGCTGGGCGGCGAACGCCTTCTCCATGTCGGCCTCAAAGGCCAGCAGGCACACCTGGAGAGAGATGGGTCAGGTACCAGAGCCCGGTCCGACAGGTACCAGGTACCAGAGCCCGGTCCGACAGGTACCAGGACCCGGACCCGGTCCGACAGGTACCAGAGCCCGGTCCGACAGGTACCAGGTACCAGAGCCCGGTCCGACAGGTACCAGGACCCGGACCCGGTCCGACAGGTACCAGAGCCCGGTCCGACAGGTACCAGGACCCGGTCCG